ACGAAATAACGTGAAACTTATCACGTAATAACGTGAAACTTATCACAAAATAACGTGAAACTTATCACGTAATAACGTGAAACTTATCACAAAATAACGTGAAACTTATCACGTAATAACGTGAAACTTATCACAAAATAACGTGAAACTTATCACGTAATTACGTGATACTGAGCCAATTTTTTCACTCTGTGTGGCAGCATTACGCTTCCGTATAAAACAGCTAGACAATTCCACAAAAAAACATATATTTGCACAAAATTAACAAAGGGCTTAAATGAGCTAAAATCTGTGCGCAGATAATTAGAGTTAGCACAAGAATAGATAAATGAACTGAGCTAAAAGGATCTATTCTATGGTTAAGGATTAGCAAATAAAAGCTAAAGGCTAGCTATGAAAGATGACTTAAAGCACCAGTTGAAGGTTAGGAGAAAATTAAATATTTATTTCTTAAGAAATTAAAGCATCAATAGCTGAGTGTGATCTTGAAAGTTTTTAGAATACTTTTGAATTTGACTTTGAAAATATTCCAATTCATAATTATGTATGCTTGATGTCAACACTGTTGACACACTTGTTTTTATATTTCTATCATCTCATTCTTTCAGGGTACAGACATTGGCACGCTGACCTCCGCCCTGATGACACGCCCCTGGAGGCGGGGCTTGCCTTCACCTGTAAACTAAAGAGCTCCATCCCCTTCCAGGGACGTGATAGGCTGGAGAAACAGAAGGAGGAGGGACTGAAGAGGCGAATTGTCTGTTTCACTATTGACGAGTCAGTACAGAGGCTGCTTTGTCAGCTGTTTTTTTGTTCATTGGGCGACACAATCTGCCATAATATTTAACTGTGTCTTTTTTAAATTAATTAGAGTTTGTATCTGATGTGCATTTCACCCTCTCCTCCTTCTTCTCCCTCCCCCATAGGAAAGTACCAATGTTTGGTCTGGAGGCCATTTTCCGTAACGGAGTTCCTGTTGGACATTTACGACGTTCAGACTACGGATTCTTTATAGACAAAACTATTGGCTATGGATACATCCGCAACCCTGACGGAGGAGTGGTAACAGTCACTTTGGTTTTCTGTTCTTACTTTATTAACATTTTTATAATCGTTATTAGCATGATGTTTTGTTGTATCCCCGTGGTACAATGACAATACAGACCATAAAATTAAAATAAAAAATTACATATTAGCATTGTTAGCATTATTGTCAGCATTAGCATGACTACACTTTAGCATTACTGTTTTTATTATTAGCGTTGGCATGATCACAGATTAGCATTATTGTCATTATTATTAACTTTTGTCACCTGCCCGTTGCCATTTGCGCTTTAACAAAGTGGCAGCCATCTTAGACAGCAAAATATGTCAACAAGTTTAGTGACAGCCTTAGGTGGATGCCCGGTTATGCACAGAAGCGTAGCGGGAAATAGGCTGATGTCCAATTACAGGTGCGTACAAAAGGCTAAACACCCTGTAATTTTAGTGTAGAATCTTTTCACCCTCAGAGGACAGGAAGATGATGACGGTTAACGGGAGGAAGAGAAAAGACTGAGTCAGTGTGAATCAGACTGCTGTGTAATAAGAGACCTGATGTTGACTCCTGAAGGAATTAATTGCGTTCAGTGTTTTATTAAATCCTAACACACTCTCAGAACTGGCATTATGAACAAAGGGATCCATCACTTATGAATTAATGCCGCTAACTCTGGTCTTACCTAATATCTTTGCCTCCCTCTCTCCTCAGGTGAGTCCTGATTTCATCAAGAGTGGTGAGTTCACCCTGGAAAGGATGGGCGTGTCCTACAAGGCCAAGGCTCACCTCAAAACCCCCTTTGACCCTGAGAATAAGCGAGTGAAGGGCATCTATTCCTGAGGAGCTCAAACATAAAGACTGTCTTATTAAAAGCTTGTGGTAACAGCCACGCCACATTTCATTTAATTCTTCTCTCTCTCTCTTAAAATCTGAGCCCGAAGTCAAGTTGAATGTTTTTAAGGTATTTTCAAAGTTCTTAGCAAAGTTCTTAGTTAGTGTTTTAGCCAGTCGATCCTGATTGGATGTTAAAATTCTGTCTGCTCTCAGTCCTTCATGTTATTCTTACAGCGCCACCTGCAGGTTATTCCCACTTCTCTACTTTCACCACATTTTGCATTGCTACAGACTTCTCTCAATAGATTTCTCCTCCTCGGATCCAAGCTACAGTAGTATCATGTAATAACACCACACCACACAAAACATCTTTTTTTTTACCTGCCATAACACGTGGTGTAGCGCCGGCAAATGTAAAGAGTCATCGTTCTCGTTGGAGTATGGGATCAATGTTCTATTGCTGATGCTCTTCATAGAAATGTCAAAGGTACACATAGACATTTGCACTGGTCAGAGAGTGAAGAGAAAGGAAACAGCCTCCTTTCACATGTTCTTCTAAAGATCCGCAAATACGTGGCTTGCGGTTTACAAAATGGGCTGGTGGTTATTTGAAAGCCACTGGTCTTTGGGTATATTTTGTAGTATTTTATTCATTCCCTAAAAGAAATAACTCCTTGCACATACTTCCCATACAGTATGTGAGCACTCCAGTGATTAGGAATTCGAACCAGCAGTCATGCTATTAAAGCCTGGTCTTGTAATCACTAAATCATTAAAAAAGTTTATATACATATTTGTTCATTTCCTATTTTTGTGCCTTTACATTGACATTTTTTCTGTAGCAACAAAATGATTAAAGAATGAGAGGTGTTAATACTCCGGGCTGTACTGTTAGAGGAATGCTAACGATCACCTAGAGGCTGGCAAGTAGAAGTGCATTTATTTCACTGCAGTTTGGTGTGAACACATCTACAGCATCTTGGCAGTTCAGGTAGTTACACTTTTCTGACCTTGAAACTTGAAGAAGTCCCTGTTTACATGAGAAGAAATATTTACAGAATTTTAAGAGATACCTTTGAGAAACTGACCCCCATTTTTCTGTTGTAGTCCAGTGCTGTCACAGTGCTCATTTTTCTGTTGTAGTCCAGTGCTGTCAATTCCATTTTTACGTCGAGATCTCACCCTTTTGCATAATCTATCTATCTATCTGTCTGTCTGTCTATCTATCTGTCTGGCTGTCTGTCGTTCTGTCTATCTATCTGTCTGTCTTTCTGTCTATCTATCTGTCTGTCTTTCTGTCTATCTATCTATCTGTCTATCTGCTTATCTATCTATCTATCTATCTGTTTATCTATCTATCTGTCTGTCTGTCTGTCTGTCTATTTATCTGTCTGTCTGTCTATCTATCTGTCTGTCTTTCTATCTATCTATCTATCTGTCTGTCTGTCTTTCTATCTATCTGTCTGTCTATCTATCTGTCTATCTGTCTGTCTGTCTGTCTATCTATCTGTCTATCTGTCTGTCTGTCTTTCTATCTATCTGTCTGTCTGTCTTTCTATCTATCTATCTGTCTGTCTATCTGACAGTCTGTCTGTCTATCTATCTGTCTGTCTTTCTATCTATCTGTCTGTCTATGTATCTATCTATTTATCTATCTATCTTTCTATCTGTCTGTCTGTCTGTCTATCTATCTTTCTATCTGTTTATCTATCTATCTGTCTGTCTGTCTATCTATCTGTCTGTCTATCTGTCTATCTGTCCATCCATATGTGGCTACAGTTAAGCATTTGGGATTGGGTATCGGATCGGATGGGCTTTAATGTGTGTCAAGTGTTGTGTTTCTTTTCGATTTTGGATCCTGAAACTTTCAATAACGTTCAATAACTGATCTAGAGTAAGGTATCAGGCTTGCTCTACTGTAGGTTAATCCCGTCTTCTTGTTCTCAGTTATGGACGCCCCACATTCTCCGTGGCTAGGGGCAGTTGCAGGACATTCTCTGAACTTTGTCATCCTAAATGTAGTGACAAGAACCCATGTTAGAAACAGTACCTGGACTGATGTTGTAAGAGGACTTGTGCAGCTAACATTGGTGCTAGTACGCGATCAGAACTGCGTAGCTAACTAAGAGTGATGGTTAGCCCTGCCTGCCCCTGCATATTACCATCAAAACAACATAATATCAATGTTTCATTGTGGGCTAAAAGTAAAACTTATCTATCTGTCCATCCATATGTTGCTACAGTTAAGCATTTGGGATTAGGTATCGGATCGGATGGGCTTTAATGTGTGTCAAGTGTTGTGTTTCTTTTCGATTTTGGATCCTGAAACTTTCAATAACGTTCAATAACTGATCTAGAGTAAGGTATCAGGCTATCTCTACTGTAGGTTAATCCCGTCTTCTTGTTCTCAGTTATGGACGCCCCACATTCTCCGTGGCTAGGGGCAGTTGCAGGACATTCTCTGAACTTTGTCATCCTAAATGTAGTGACAAGAACCCATGTTAGAAACAGTACCTGGACTGATGTAAGAGGACTTGTGCAGCTAACATTGGTGCTAGTACGCGATCAGAACTGCGTAGCTAACTAAGAGTGATGGTTAGCCCTGCCTGCCCCTGCATATTACCATCAAAACAACATAATATCAATGTTTGATTGTGGGCTAAAAGTAAAACTTAAACAGCGTTTGTAAGAATGTTTTTTTCCTTTCTAGTACTTTTACTCTGCACTTTGGCTGTTTGTAACAGTTCTGTTGTAGCTAACATTAGTTCTAGTGCCTGTAGGAGGACTTGTGCAGCTAACATTGGTGCTAGTACGCGATCAGAACTGCGTAGCTAACTAAGAGTGATGGTTAGCCCTGCCTGCCCCTGCATATTACCATCAAAACAACATAATATCAATGTTTCATTGTGGGCTAAAAGTAAAACTTAAACAGCGTTTGTAAGAATGTTTTTTTCCTTTCTAGTACTTTTACTCTGCACTTACCAAAGCTCTTATATTCTACAGGGTCTGACTTTGATGCCATCAGTTCTTAATCCCTGCTAATTAATCACCTATGCTGAGAGGTTGTCCTGACATCACTGTGATATACATAATACATGGACTAGAGTACTACAATATTGTTACACCACTACAACTTTTACCAGCTGGGAGTTGGAGTCACAGTGACTGACCTCTAATGTGCTAATGATAATAATAAACTCAGTAGTGTTCTACTTGTGTGCGTGGTGGATGTGACTCAGACAAGCAGAGTGTTCTTCATTTGAGTGAGAGGATAAAGAAACACCCGCAGGCAGAGCCAGGCACCTGGGACTGAATTGGGCTCCAGGAAAATGATAGAAAAAGACTGCAATTACTATGAAAATGTCTGTTCTTGGATAAAAGAAAAATCTGTTTTTAGTTTCATCTTCGTCTTGTTCCGCTCTGCTTTGTTGTTTAGTCTGAGATTCTTTGTTAGAAATATGTTTTAACTGGGTGATTACAGAAGATATTCTGTTAAAATGGTGAGACTGTTGCATGGTTAAGGCTCTATTCTGGTGGAATTATGTAATTACACTTAAAAAATCGGAATGAATTTAAGTCTGCTGCTAATATCTTGGTATCACTTGTTTTCAGTTAGAGCACATAGTGGTAGAGTGGTTAGCACAACATTAGTGTTTGTGTCTTTACTAGGGCATTTGTAGCTAACATTAGCTCTGGTGTCGGCACCAAGACGTTTGTAGCTAACATTAGTGTTTGTGTCTTTACCAGAGCAGTTGTAGCTAACATTAGTGTTTGTGTGTGTGCGTGTTTGTCTCATTGCGCTGAAATTGTCGATAAATATGAGCGTGGTGCCCGCTTAAAAAAAGTATATAAATCGAAAAAAGCAACGACAACAAAAATAGAAAAGTTAAAGAAATACGTAAGTTAATTGTAAGTTACGGAGTGTACCGGTAAGCAACGCTACGGAATCAAGTGTCTACGTACGTGCCAACTCTCTCCCCTCCCTCCTTCTCCGCACATGCCGCGCCGTTAGCCGCTACTGTATTGTCTGGTTTGAAGGTAAGAATTAAAACTACATTTTATTTTATATCACAGGAATCCTTATATACTATAATTTTGTGTGTGTTTATGTCTCTATAGCAATTAAAACATGGTTTTTTTCTATTGTTATTAGCACTAAAAGGGAATTTATTTTAGAGTGCCAGAACAGATACATTCTTTTTCCTGTTATTTTTTTTTCCTGGGAAAAAATGATCCAGTGTACGTCTCTGTAGGTGTATGAGAGCACACGCCAGTGTTTTTCCTTCACAGCTGCACTGATTCCGGGTGAGAAGCAGCGCACCTGTGGGCGTGATCCTAATCAGCTGTGGAGAAGGCTATGAGGCCCAGCTCCATGAGGACTCAGTGCCACAGCGTTTGCCATGTTTTGTGGTAAGGTTTGGTCTTGTTCAAAATAATGAATCTTGAAACTGCCAGCGTTTTTGTGATGTTTATTATGTGAAAGAAAAAATATAGGAAAATTATGCAAATGCAAACCTATACCCTTTACCCTACATGTAGACCTTAGTTACCAAAACAGGTAAGATCATCCGTTCGTTAAAAATAGAAGAAATGCTACAAGTCACAATGATGCTAATGTTAGTAGCAATAGACATAAAGCTGCTAAAAGATTAAGGTAAACTCTGAAGCAGTACTTTCAAGCAACATGTCAACTAAAAGTAAATAAAGAAGTATTAGCTGGAAATTGCTAAATATAGCATACAGCTGTGACAAAAATCTCAAGAAAAACAAAATGTTTAGCCATGAATAGCTACAACTCTTAAAGAACTGCAAATAATGTGATGAAATGACCAAAAACATTACAGCAGTAAATGTGAAAATGTCTTTCTTATTAGAGTTAATGGTACTTTTTTTTTTTTTAGATCAACAGACATTAGCATTAGCAGCACTGTAGCATTCATTTGTCTTTTGCTTCCCACATGCAAGCCCACAATTCCCATAAATAATGTTTAATGCACAATGAACAGTATATTTAGCTTTATTTTAAGCAGACACTTCCGACTTCAACAATTCCCCCTCGGTTGACGCCATCTTCCCTGCTTGTTCACACTGTGGGTGGACAGTTGGATGCTGCTCGTCCTTCACAGGGATAGTGAGGTTGTGGAAGGACAGTTGTCACCTTCGGTATCGGCTGCTTTTCCCAGTCTCCCTGTGGTAAAAAAGACAGAAAAAATACTTTTTTGATAACTGATGTGTTGTTTGGTCCTAGAGACGTCGGCTGAGAAAAATTGATACCATCCTTGGAGTGTGGACCACAGATGTTACCCGGGTAATTGCACAGTTGACATTGTACAGTGTATCAAATGTGGACAAATATATTTGAGGCCTGTTTTTGTTGACGTGTCCATGTGATTTAGGACATGTGACCTTAAAGCTGTGAAACTGCAGTATTCACCAGACAGTATTTCAGCACGGCATGTTTCCAGCTAATTTATGAGTGTGTTCCTGTTATAATCATCTGACTCTCTGTAGAGTGTATGTTTGCCTGAATGTAATATGGCAGAAAGTAGCTGAAAGTAAACAATAGCCAAGGACAGAAGCTAAGAGAACTCACAGGTTTGTTAGCAGCCGACAAAGATTTTTTTTAAAAGCTTCCCCAAGATGCTAAACATGGCTAAATGATGGCTAAAATATTAATTGAACTATGTGTATCTGTAATTAGCAAAACACAAAGGAGTAAAAAGGCAATTAGCAAAAATTGTTAACAGATTGGAAGATAACTAAGTTAACACAGTTTTTAAAACAAGTATTGTGCATTTTAAAAGAACAACCAACTAAATAGTTAGTATTATATAATTGTATAATATATAAGTTGCTGTAACGAGCAGCTTAAAGACGATAGGACAAAGCGGTTCTGCTAAGTAACTGCCACTACGTATCTGTGACTTGTGGTATTTTGATTACTCAGACTGACTTTCAAACTGCAGAAAACTGGCACCTATTGTCACTAACTTGTGATGTGATTTTCTCCGTTATATTCTCAACCTGAGCAGATGGTGAGCTGCAGTCTGAGGAGGCCTCGGTGCTCGACTGTCACCACGTCTCTGTCACGGACGAGAAGCTGGGTGTCTGCAGTTGGTTGGCAGTGGCTGTGAGTTTCTGCTTTTAAATTATATTACTTACTAGTATTATTACTTAATAGTGGACCAAGTACTGAGTAAAAAAAGTTAAAAAGTTACTTTTTTAATATATTCAACTTTAAAAACTTATTTTTAAACCATAATGTTTCTATACATTTTCTTTATCTAATTTTAGTTATTACGTACTCAATATTTGACAAAGATATAAAAATAAAGTTTGTCAAATCTGAGATACTTCTGAGATAGAGACAACCTCTCGTACGATACCGTGTGCTAATTTAGTCACAAAATTGCTCTTAACAAAAATATCTTAATTTAGCCAAAAGATAAATGGATGAGCTTAATCCAGTAGTCGCACTCATTACTCACCACAGCAGGCCAGTGTCACTGAGGCCATTATTAGCACACGTGCCGTATATTAGCATTAGCTCAGACCTCATCAGTGTAATATAACATGATGTTAGGGACACAAACCCCCTTAACTGCTCCACAAACATACACCTGGTCTCTCTATACCAGGGGTGGGTAAACTCTCACGGGTTACAATTGTCCTGATGTTACTTCTCACCAATACTCACAATAGCTGTCTATTAATAGAACATGTTAATTATTTAGATATTATGGAAACAATGTGCTGTCAAAAGTATGGTCGATCTAGAAGTAACCTCCAGTAGTTTGAACGTTAAAATAAAAACCTTTTTCTTGTGCGTCGGAATCGCTCCAGTGGCAAGATATTGGCCACCCTCTAGCAGAAATAAATTGAGTTTGCCACCATCTAGTGGCATCAATTAAAAGTACATACCTTGTACAAGGCCAGATTGGAAAGCCCAGTGAGCCTTATCTGGGCCGCGGACCAGAGTTTTCCCATGTCTGCTCTAAACTGAGTGTATATTTGAGTGTAAATGGTTGTATGTCTACACTGTATTTGTTCCTATGACATAGTTTGATTCAGTTTTGGTTTCTGGTTATGACTGTCTCCATGTGAAGTTATTCAGGATCTAATAATGTCACATTTTGGGGATGTTTTTCTTCAGCCCAAACACAGCTGTGTGCCAGTGAGATGGGAATTATGGGCAGTGACAAATACTAGTGTCTATTTCTTAAACAAAACAGCTGACAGTGTTGTCCTTGATCATAAACCTACATCCCAGTCATTACAAGGATTGAGCTCCTAATTCGTTCGGTTCCCAGTCCTGGCAGAACTGTGATGTGATGAACAAGCACCAGAAAAGTTAAGCCAACTGCCCCTGTGTGTGTGATGATGTTCATGACTGGGTTGTTTCACAGATGGGTTACTGGCAGGAAGTAATTCTGGGATGAATAGAGTACTGAAATCACAGGACAGTAGAACTGCAGTACCTGACCCAGGACTTCAGACTGTCAGTTCTATGGCAGCTGCTGGTGAACATGTTGAAACCACAGATCAGTGTCTTGGTGCACGCGTGTGGGTTGGACTCACGGGTAAGAGCTCTCCGTTGGACTTGGTGCACTGCTCGTAGATGGGCGCCGTTTTGTACAGATAATTCAGCTCTTCTACACTGAATTTGTCCCAGTGTACCTGAGAATACTGCTCTTTCACAGACACATTACTGCACGCACACTGGTCGTTTCCCTGGAACCTGGAGGGAGGATGCAGTCACAAGGGGAAGGGGGTTTGAAGGAGAGGTCAATAAAAGCGGGAGGCAGATGGACAGGAAGGAGGAACAGACTGGAAAAAAATGTGGTGGAGTTGGTGTTGAGGGGACTAAGGAATGGCTCTGAGCAGACAAAGCAGCTGGTTGTTGAGATTAAAAGAAGAAATCACTGCGTCTGTCCCTCAGAGGGGAGAGAGGAGTGAATGCTGAAGATGGAAATAAAATGCTTAGTCGCACAGGAGATGGTGGCGAGGAAGGTGCGAAACTGTGAGATAGGAGAGAGTTGAGAAGTTGAACAAGGAATTGGTTTTGGTGAGGGAAGTTGTTTCAGGTACCTGTTCATGGAACTGAAGTACTTCTGAAGGGACTCGGGGTCAACATTGGATTTGCAGACCTCCAGCTCAATCCGGGGATAGTAGTAAATGAAGTTGACACACATTTCATCCATGAAGCCATTGCCTCCCACTGGACAAAGTGCAATGGGCAAAAAAAGGCTCAAATTATTTAACTATATTAAAATTAAAATATATTCCAAATTTGTTATTTGGGTCTGTATAAACACAAGTGACTTCATATCGCAATAGTAGTAGTAGTGCTAACTCAAAGTACTATTCAAAGAAAGATGGAAATTAGCTGACAAATAATAATTGGCATTTTTGTTTTTAGCATAAGAAATAAAGAAAGAGCCAAAGAATTTAGCAAACAGTAATGTAGCTAAGGCTGGATCATTATATATCCACAATGTTTTTAATTTAACTCATTTAAATGTCTGATTTTCCACTTCAACTCTGTATCTGTATTAATCTGACTTTGTCTTGTCGTGATAGCACCGCGCCCTGCTTAGAGGCTGCGCCCATTACTTTAGGAACCACTTGCCAAAGCTGAAAAGCTTAAAATGAGTTTTAAAAGTGACCTGGGAAAAGGTTAAACATTATAAGATTTGGGAACTTTTTAAAGACACACAGAAATAGGAAGGAAAAGGTCTCCAGTGTTTCTGATGACAGTGGACAACTGACCACAGTGGGTTTGCTCCGGTCTTCTGTGTTATAGGTACACTTCGTGACGATGGCGTCACCCTAGAGGGTCAAACACAAATACATCAGTGGCTCAGCATGTTCATGATGGTGACAAACAAGAAGACAATTTAAACAGAGATCGTGCTGTTGCTGCTGCTGCTGCTGCTGCTGCTGCCGCTGCTGCTGCTGCAGGACATTTTCAATCACTGCTCTGATTTTTCAGTCTGTTCCTATTTTCAGTCATTTTAAACCTTTTGTGCAGCAGCGAGGTATGACTAGTTTAATACTTTACATGCTGAGAGCCAAAGGGAAATGTACTATACTATATATTTGGGGCATTAGCTAAGCTAGCAGGGAAGTAACTTTTTTTTAAATATAATTTAATTCTATAATAAAAAATATATGCTGTGGGAAATCAGAAGCTTTGGTAATTTAAAAGCAGGAGGAAGATTTAGTGTTCTACTTACAGGGAGAACGTTAACTCTCTCTTTGAGATATCGGAGTGACTGTAAGAAAGAAAACAAAATTAGGTTCAGAAATAAATCATGTGACGGTTGTTGAAACGTCAACACGCAGATGTTGGTAAGCTTTTCGTCTATCTGTCTTTGAATGGTCCTCCAGACACTGATCATCCCAGGGTTGGGGGGGGGGTTCGTACAGGGTTCGCTACTTCTACTTTGCAATTTTTTTTTTCCCATTTCACAGTCCTACATTTCAACCAAGGTTCTTGTCTACCTACCTACTACCCAACTATCTACAGACCTACATATCAACCAATCATATACCAATCTACCTACTGACCTTTCTACTGGCCTTCCTACCAACTGACCTACCTACCTGCTAACCAGGATACCAACTGACCTACCTACCAGCTAACCTACCTACAGTCTAACCTACCTGCTCATTATTCTACTTACTGGGTAACCTATCTACCCACTGACCTACCTACCAGCTAACCTATCTAACGACCAACCTAGCTCTGCATAACCTGGCTACCAACTAACCTGCCCACCACCTAAATTACGTACGGACTAACCTAGCTACTGGGTGACCTGGCCACGAACTAACCTACGTTATAGTTATTTCAGCCTCTGTATGTTTCTATAAAATATGGGCAGGTTTCGTGCCTGACGTCAGCTGAACTGCAATCATCTCTGGATGACTGATGTGGGAGGGTTTACTCTGTTAAAAGAGTAAATGTACAAGAGTAAATCAAATTTCTTAAAAAAAATTGTGTGTTGATATTCACGTGGATAAATGTACTTTAAATTCATTGATAAATTTCCCAAAATGACTGTCAAATGTGCAAAATGAATCAAATTTAGTCTTTCCAAAATTGTTAGCAAAAATGTTTCATGCCATACTATAAAAAATGTTGGAAATAAATATTTTATTTTTTTTGTGTATATTTTAATGCATGTGTAAAATGACATGCACACCTATCATTGCTCTTATGGTTACTCTAATATACTGTGATACATGTCACAACTCCCAGCATGTGTTGGTGGACGTTTCAACCTCAGGTCAGTGGCCCAACTTGTGTCAGAGCAGCCTGACTGAGATCAGTACAGTCAGTAAGTCTGTAGTTAGACACACCCGTCATGGATTGTTCAGGACTGTAGACAGGTTAATATTTTTTAAGAACAATGACTTGGCTGAAGTTTAGAAAAGAAACTCTCCACACGTTCTACAAGACACTGTCAAGATGAAGAGCAGAGATGAAATACACCAACACTATGGAGATGTGCAAAAGTGGCCCATGAACTTCCTACATCCGGCCCACAACTAGTTGTCAGTATTATGTACCCACTCTGATCCACTGCTGTTATTTTCCTGCCCTTCAATAAGATGTCAGGGCAACAGTGGGCCTCAGCTTATTTGACTTTGAGACCCCTGCTTTAGATGACCTGATCAGTGGTATAGCTTACGTGGTAGTAGGTGCTAAAATGCTTGTCCTCTTTCACCACCTCCACCTCCTTGCCTCCTCTCACCAGCACCGTCCTCAGCGCACGTCCAGCCAGGTGGGCGTGAAGCTGGGATGCAAATATTAAGATTCCTTCTTTGGGCAAAGCCTGGACAGACAGAGATGTTGAAGACGTAGACTTAGAATGCTCCTGGAACAAGGATCTAAACAATCCTGACACCTTGAGTCATCAGCTTGAACCACCAGTGAATTATACATAACAGACTTCCTCCACTTACTGCCTCGGTGCACTTTGGGGTGCAGTAGCCTCTGAGGTAGAAGTTGTGCTGTTTTGGTGGAATGGCCATGAGGGGAGTGTAAACCAGGCCCAGCTCCATGACTCCTGCGTCATATCGCCTCAGGCTGGGGGTGTAATACAGACGTATCCCGGATGAGTCACGACGGCCTGTGTGCACAACACCATACAATATTAAACCTGTTCTTTCTTTTTCCTAGCAGATCATTATCTCGGTGTTAACAATTCTGCACTGGTCCACTTTTAGTCCCAGTTCAGCAGACAGTGCTCACTCTGCACCTCTGACATTTATACGATTTGGAACAGGTTTACACTGTAGTGACGATATAAGGTGAAAACTTAAATGGAATCACTGTTGCTGTTAATAGGATCATTGCTATGACTATTACTGTAAGCACTACTACAGGAGCTCATATATTTATTCACACTGATCCTGGGATTGCACCAAGGTTTAGCAAGCAGTAAATGATGAAATAGAAACATCCTTGCAGATGATGTGACAACAGATACAAAAAAATAAATGACAAAAATTGCAACAAAAAAAATTGTCTCCATAAGGAATACATAAAGAATAATTTGCATGTATGTGAGTGTGTTTGAGAACTAACACCTGTGGAGTCATCTTTAGAAAAACCCTATTGTTGTGGAGACACCTTGTTGTTGTAGTTTAGACCAGTGGTCCCCAACCTTTTCGTACCAAGACTGATCGGCCAGTATCAGCAGTTCCTGCGAACCGGGAATACTGCACTATTGTTGAAGGATCATTACATTTTCAAAATAAAACCTCTTTATTCTGTTAGTATCAGAGTCTGAATGACCTGTTGTTTTGAAACATTGACGGATTATCTTTGAATGAAAACAGTATAGGGATGTGACTGGGTTATTTTTGAATGAAGTACATTTCAAGTAAACTGAATTGTTTCACTGTGTCTCACTGTGGCCTGGTACCAAATGATCTACGGACCAGCACGCGTCCCCAAACCAGGCGTTGGGGACCCTTGGTTTAGACAGTCAAGATTTAGTTTGGAGTCGGGATTAGAATTAGTCTCAGGTTAGAGTTAGGGTAGGGACTGGGATTAGCTTAGATTGGTAATAGTTTTGGCTGGGTTGCTTTATGTCAATTTGAGGTACACGTGTGTTTGGGTGTGTATTCATCCATACCCGACATAAGGAGAGGGTTGTGGTAGTGGATCTCCATACGAAGAATCTTTGAAGATCCTGGTCCACCAATGGGCATCCCAACATCAGGAGGGAAGTAGAAAGGCTGCAAAAAACACACACAAACGCAGTGTTGTACTCTGAAAACACCTCCACTGGACCACTGTAACTGTGCTTGTAGCGACCCCTGCAGGGGAGGGACACAGGGAGTGACATGCTCTCCTTCTTTCCACCTGACTCTCTCTCTCACTTTCTCTTGCTGTTACCCTGTTTCTCTAAACCCCGTATATTTTTCTTCTTTTTTTTTCAATACCTTCGTCCTAGGTTCAACCCTCTGTGTCTTTGAGTCTTTAATACCTTTGCAGGGGACTTTTTTTAAGTTTTGAAAGGAAAGGAAATTACAATTATTTTACTATGTATTTTTGATTTTATAGATTTTATTTATTTAGTTTTGACTAAAAATGACATTTTTTGCTTGTTACTGTACCAACTATAATATAATAAATTTACTTTTGACTTTCCGCAAAACGTATCATTGAAACATTTAAGTGAAATATATCCGTCGTTAAATTACTCAACACTTTGGTTGATTAATTTCCATTGTGTTGTGGTCAATGAGTGGGGGAGTGGACTGTAATGTTCAAATTCCTGCCATGCAGAAGGTTCAGGGTTTGATGCCATCTATTCCCCAATCAAAGCATGGGTTGTAGCTGTGGAGAGCTCAACAAAGAGAGGAGCTAAAAGTGATTTGGATTTTGCTCAGTGACGGTCCTTAAAGAGGCATTGATAATCTGAAGGATGTCTATGTTAGATCCCTGATGGACGCCACAAACATCGGGATAATGTGTTGTTGTTGTTTCCTTGTGGGAAACGTCTTTATTCTTTTGCACACATGTTTTTTTTTATCATGTGCATGTGTGAACATATACAAAGTTTATTTGTATTTGAGCTTTTGTTTTTCTCTTACAAAAGATTCAGAGACTGGAACCAAATTAGTTTTTTCTTTTCTTCCAACTCCTGCTGTTTCTCCACTAAACGTGATCTTGGTTGGAAGGTGAACATGGTGATATCTGAGTAGGTTGCTGTGGGCGGTGGTAAGTTTTACAGATTAAGTACTAATTTCCCCTGAAGTACAGATTAGAGTTAGATAAGACGAGTTAGACGAGTTAGCTCTCTCGTCTCACAGTCGTACCTCTGCACCCTTGGCCCACGTCGCCAGCACGGGACTACAGAAGTTGAGCTTCGGGGCCGCCATGATGTCGTCACAGGCGCCGCTGTTTTGTGGAACGTCGGCGATGCCCGGTAAACATTCGAACACCTCAATGTGATGTACGATGTCCTCGTTACCTGGAGTTATCGCTGACTCAAACTGAGGGAAACACAAAGGACAGAGGACAGTAAAAACAAACAGTGTTGTAGGATGTGGAACAAGTTTAGTTCAAAATGATCTGATCCAGTCAAAGACCATTTTTATGGTATGCAATAGTTTTCATAGTGATTTTCTGCTATTTTGGCCCACTTTTTTTGACATTTTTTAAAAGTGTTCCTCCTCTAATATTTTAAATTTTTGACTGTTTTTTTTTTTGCTATTCCGTGGCTTGACTTTAATTACTTTTATATATATAAATATTTAATAAGATATATTTTAAAAGCATTTTTTTCTCTATTCTGTTGGTAGTTTTGCAGCTATTTTTTAGTAAACCCCAATCAATCTTTAGCTAGTTGTAGGTGAACATCCACAGTCAGGCTAAAACTCACTCAAAACTTTACATTTCCTGTGACCTACTGTGAGTTTTAACGTTGAGGCTAACGCTTTGGTTTAACCGCTCTAACACATTATTTCCTTTAGTTTATTTTAATATTTTTCCTTTAGTTTTTCCATGCAATATCTGGCCACTACCTTACCAAAGTTAAACTACTGTACCTTTAGTAATAGGTGCTTAAGCTTCAGCTATGCCTGGATAAAGCTGTTAGCAACTTCAACCTTTTCAGAAGTTAACTGATAGATTTTAGCTCCCTTGCTAGCTTGTCTTCGCACACTTGTAGCTGCTGTATCACTGTGTTGGAAAGATGTTTTCTTTGTTTGCGTCTCCTCCTTTCATCCATGACACTGCTGCTGAAGTTGTTTTGCCTTTCTGCCAAATGAGGCAAACTTAGAGCTGCTTGTTCACCGTCTATATTTAAAACACCCACTCTGCTGCCTTTAAAAATACTGGCTGTCAACTATAACCATCGTAGAGGCGTTCATACCATAAGAATGTGGTTCTTGGGCATGTCTGCAGGCAGCTGCTGATTGAAGCACCAGTAAGTCGTCTCCTGACTTGGTATGGTGACGTTTGGAGCCGCGACATCCAGAAACTTCGTATCTGGAGGCATCTGGGTGGGTGGGATGCCATATTGGAGCATCGTTATACTCAGCATCCCAGTGTGGATGCTGAACAGATTCAGCTGCTCCAGTGAGGCCAGAGGTTGATCCAGGACACCGTAGATGATGTCCACAGTTCCTTCCTAGCCAATCAGAACAGCAGGCTTTAAGGGAAGTGCATTTTATTTTTGGGCTCATCTCATTCTTCATAAATATGATATATGTTTTAACACTTTTCCATTATGTTGTCATAGTGACCTGCATTAGTTTTGTGTCTCAATCTTATCCATCTAACGTGGTGCCATGGAGACCATAATGATAGGAAATCAAGTCAAGTCAATTGTATCCCTATAGCCCAGATACACTCGTCACATTTGTCTCATTGGACTTCACCATTTTAAATAAAGATTAAACTTAAAATAAGAAGGGGAGGAAGGAAGAGAGAACAGGAGTAGACGATATGATGTTAGTACTATATAGCTAGTAACGTCTTAATCAACAAATGTGAAGGATGATAAGGAGACACTGGGACCTGTGAGGTGAAGAGAACATGGAGAGGGAACAAGGGGACAGACGAGTGGAGACGGAGGAGACCAGGTCATTGACGTACACATGATGTATTCATTTCTTAGAAGTGTGGGGGAGACAGAGGGCTCAGTGCACCATGGGAGTTCCCCCTGCAGTCTAGGCCTATAGGAACATAAGGCTATTCTTGTTTGTTTCTATAAGTAATGGGATCATAAGCTGTTCTGGTGTTAGCCATGGTTTTCTCATAGTTGTTTTAACAGTTCTTTCAGACTACATTTGACTCTTTGGAATTTGCGGAGCGCCAGTGTCTTTCTTGTTTACGTGATGGTAATTTTAGAGAGCAAGTTTGTGATTTAAAGAAAGGAGATTTTTTTTTTCTTTTTTTAGTTTTCTTAAGTTGGCAATGTAGTCTAGTATATGTATCTTGTAGTATAAATTCAAAGATGAGCAGACTTTGCAGGGAAACTTATACGTTTTTAACAATAATCCCATAAGTGGGAACAAGATCAATGGTAAGATTAAAACTGTGAGTAGACGTATTTATGGGTTGAGTGAAACCAGTTGAATCTAATATTAATTGAAACTGAATTCAGGCAGACATTCTGAATAAGGTGCAGGTAGACAGTAAATAGTAACTGATATTATTGTTTCAAAGAAGTTATACTCAGGTCTAGGGTTAGAAACGGCAGCAGCTCCTTCTTGGCCAAAGTAATACCTCAGGCTGAACAGTGCTGATCACATGAGTTCTCTGTGTTTATACACACACACACACACACACACCTCTATGAGGTAGTCTCTTGGATCACAGGTGCTGAAGGGTCTCTTGAAGAGCAGTTGGATCCCATCAGGATTCTGTTTGGCCTCCAACAGCTCGTAGTCCTGCTGACGGTCCAGTGAAACCTGACCATTGGCATCACTCCATGCATCCTTAAAAAAACACGGAAATTTGTGAATCACTCACATTAAAACCAATTTGATATAGTTTGTTAAACAATCAGAAATGAGTGTTAACTGTCACATTTATATCTCACAAATATACTCCTATATGCAGATGATTCAGATACTTATTTAACATTGATCTCCATTGAAAACTGCCTTTTTGTAAGAACAATTTAATACATTTGGCATTCGTGGTACCTGGTGAAAATTGTTAAAGCCATCTTTACTTTTTTAAACCCTTCTGTCATCAGCTGGTTCACCTTTCATGTGCCTAACTAACCCTTCTGTCAAATGCTTTTCAATTCGTGAACAGTGTTTAATAGCAGTATCATGTGGTTATGCACTCTGTCACTGTTTTCTAATGTTTCTGCTGTTTTTATTCATCACTGCACTGAGCAACTCTGCATCAACTCTACAACTTGTTAGCAGACAATCACTGCTGTTCTCTCATTCATATTCCTCTGGTTGAACAAATCCTTTTTCTCTGTGTGAATCCTGGAGTACATATAGAGTACCCATACATTATACTGCATTATTATTAGAAGAAAAAAAAAAGTTTAGTTTTTTTTTTGGTCACACATTTGTGACGACCACAGCTGTTGCTTTTGTTTGCCATGAACAAACTTTTCACCAGCAACAGCTCTTTTCCACTTTCTCTTCTTTCTTCTTGTTACATTTCCCACATTTTTGTCTTGGCCAGAATAGCACCGAGGCTCCTGCTGTATTGAGTCGTTCTCTCTTTTTCTCTTACATAACTGTTCCACACAAACACACCAGTCCTGGAGCCAATGGTTTAAAAAAAAACATACTATATAAACATATATATATTTATAGAGCAGATGGTGGGAAGCATAATCAGAATATGTTCCAGGTTTAAACCGATGACAAATTCATGGACATTCTCTACTTTGTCCCGGTCTAGAACACGTCCTTGACAAGAAAGGTAGAAATTTTTTTTTAATTCAAAAATGAAGGAAGTTTAATGCTAGTGTTTTGCCAAAACACTGCGAGAAACACTTCTCAAAGTTTAATGCTAGTGTTTTGCCAAAACTCTGCGAGAAACGTCTATCAATAATCCCAGAGACGTGTTGGCTTTATTAAATTCCTCGTTGCCTTGGAATCGTGACACGTCTTCATCAACACCAGATTCAATTTTGATATGATAATCTCCGCTAATGATTCCCAGATGAAATGCAGCCGTTTGTACGGTGAGGCTAATTTTTCAATTAGCCGAGCCTGGATAACATCCTCCACAGCTATGAGAGGGTTAAATAAACCCCATTAAACTCACGGATCAGACAGAGGAGAAGGTCTGTCACGTCACCACTGTATGTTTACTCATTTCAAGCAACAACTCTTTCATTCATAGAAAATGTAAAAAGGTTTTAAAAAGAGGAAAAACGCTCTTGTCTCACAGCAACAAATCGTCCTCTTAGGCCACGGCTCTAACTGATGGTCTGTTTTGTAGGGGAAGTGAGAGAGTCAACGCTCGGCTGTTTCTACTGGACTGGAGAGTTGCCCAGAGTGGACCCCACCCTCATGAGATGGCTGCTGGGCTTGGAGCTGCCCCCAAGCCTGAGATTTGGAACCAGGTAGTATCTACAACCTTCTGCGTGGTACATGGAACAATTGAAAAGAGTGGATAATTGAATTGTTGTGGTTGACACGCTGCATAAATCCTCTTTCACAATGTGATTGAATATGATTAATTAAGTTTAGAATTACCCAATCACAAGCCAGTTCTTTATATCAGTGAGATATATCAGTCAGGTTAAACTCCTTGGACTGACCTCACATGACATTCTGCTGTTGTTGTAGGATTTTCTTGCCATTTACTACTAAACTAGTATTGTCAGAAATATTCCGTTTACTCCCAGACTGTTCCACATCTCAACTGTTTGGACTAGGACAAGAACAGCAACGATACAACAGAGGACCAGATTAACCTCAACCACAATAAGGCTAAAGCTAAAAATGATAAACCTAACAGACTTCTTTCTTTCTTTTTAAATTTGGACAAAATTGTCTTTTATTTGCATTGATTTCATCCTTACACTGGTACACCGAACAAAACAAAATTCAGTGGAAAATGTTAGAAATTCTGTGATATGCTTTTGTTTGAGTGGCTCACCCCAAAGTAGGTCTTTGCTCCAGAATCCCACAGCACCACCAGGTCAGCGTTGGTCAGCTCCCCGCGGTCCGACATCCCTAGAACTACCCCGTACTTGAGCTTTGCTGTCGCCGTCAGCCGTATGTACACCTCCTGGTTGGCGTCGCTGATGTTCCAGGCCAGCTGAAGTTCCCCACGTGGGTCCAGGGAGACTTGGTAAGGCATGGGGAGAGGGGGCAGAGGGATAGAGGCTTCTGGTTTGAGGTCGGAGACATTCACGGCATTGCTGGGAGCTGGGTACGACGCCACCATGATGACCATGAGGAGAGCGAGACCGGTGAAGTACATGACGACGATGTCTTGAAGGCGAAGGTTCTGGTTGAAAATTCTCATAACCCTTTGGTGACTGTCACTCACAGCACAGTGCTGGATAACAGAAACCCTATCGCTGCCTGTCCTAAACGTTGTAGTTTCAGTCCTTAAATATCATTGCATCCCTTCCCTTAACAAACAGCTTTACCTTAAATATCATTGCATCCCTTCCCTTGACAAACAGCTTTAGGTTTTTAAGAGGCTCCTCCCTTTCCCCGAGGTTTTATTTCTCCAAGCTAATGGTATTAGTTTAGTTGAGGAATATTGGATTGTATCCTCTGAGCCCTGGGGTCCACCATGATTCTGCACATTTGCCAAGCCCTAATTGGTTCAAATACAACCATGGACCTTATCACAATCAAATCCAACCAATTTTATCGTCCACTTTGTCTTTTTCATTTTCCCTTTGGTGAATTTAATAGAAATCCACAATTCCATGCAAAATTTTGATTTTGAGTTCGTCCATTGTTTTTTAAAAGATACTTAATGGTTAAACATCTTGTGACAGTGACACATTCAGCCTGGTTTAACAGCTAACAGCAGGTTTCGGGAGGCAGTGACTATAAAGATTTTTTTTTTTCAGAGCAGTGTGTGTGTACACCTGTTGGCGTAAACAAAGCAGTTCCTTGTTTATGCCAACAGGTGTATAGACAAAGATGCTTATTGGTTAAACATCTTTGAGCCGCGGCCTGGGGCTGCAGAAGACCTAATCAAGCTGCAAATTATAGTTGAAGAGCAAGAGTGACACATTCAGCCTGGTTTAACAGCTAACAGCAGGTTTCGGGAGTTAGTGACTATAAAGAAAACAAACATATTTGCTTGTTACATTAAGGCAAACTGCCTTTGTTAATTGTTTTACATTATCCTAATTAAGAAAAGATGCCTTTAATTACCTAATTTAAAAATACTTTAAAACGCATTTTGTGGGAGGCAAACTGAATTATTTCTGGTCTATTTGGTAGTTAGCTAGGGTTAGCCATTTTGGCTAACTGAAACAATTTGTTAACTGTCTTGCTCTAGTTTTGATACATTTGATTTATTTTTTTCTCGCAAAAAAAGTTGATACCTTAATCTTACGTCATACTTTATTATAATTTACACCTTGTTTGTATTATTTTTCTCGCAAAAAAAGTTGATACCTTGTTTGTATTTGTCATTTTCCTGTTTAATTCCCTTTAGACTTGGTGATAACTTTAGCGTAGCTTTAGAGTCACTTTTTTCAACTTATGGTCACCTCTATTATTCATTCGTCATATATTATCTAATATTGCTAACCTTAGGGTGATTGTCCTTGACTTAAAGGTATTCCTTATTATTTTTAATTTGCTTTTGTCTAACATTTAATTATTTTGCAAATTGTTTGTTCTTGGCTAACAGCAACAGCGTGGCTTACAATATGCAACAACAACTTGTTTGTTTGTGTGCCAAGCTCACAGTACCCTACTAAAAGGTTAATTAATAGTCATTGAACACATTATAGACCCTTGGTATTAACTGCTGGCACAGGTTGAAGCTCTCCCACAAAAGATCGCCTCCATATACACTGTAATGGATACTTGGGTTTTACACATATGCCACACCGCTCATAAGAAGGGCCAGGTGGAGGAATGTGGCCAATCCCACCATCTCATTCTCTACCAACATAAATATTTCAACAGCACGGACCCTCAAAGTTTGAATAATGAATGCAATAAAAACTCACACTGTCTGCTTCCCAGTGTTGCCTGGAACTACCCCTCATCACAACTGAATGGGAGAGTGGTAAATAATTAGAGGAGAGGGTTAGTGAGGGATGAGGCTGATGTGGAGAATTCTGAGGACATAAAGGAGTGTCATTCACCAAGGAAGGATCCTGATGGCATTGTGTATTCAGCAGGCGGAGGAGAGAGGACATCAGACAGGTACAAACAGGGACAAATGATTGTTCCAGCACAGCTGAGCTGCTGGTTCTAATGGAATTTGATGAACGTTTTGTTCCAGACAGAGAGGCCAGTCTGTTTTTACCACCTTGGCCTGAGCTGAATGGTGGGCCGTGGGCTGGGGTTTAATTTTTTAATCATCTATATAGAGTGGGCTGTCACACTGTCTCAGAGGTTGAGCAATGAACTACTGTGAGGGCCAGTCCAGGGAATCTGCTCTGAATTCTGCAGCAACTGCTCCTTCAGGGCAAAACACAGATGGACTTCTAGGGTTTAGGGCCACGGTGGAGGAGCATGACGGTGGTGCAGTAGATCTGTGGAAGTGTGAGGTGCACCTCCTCCTTGAGGGGGCGCCAAAGCACCTCAGGGGAGGCGAGAAGCAAGGACAAAGAAAGGCAAATGTGGAAAAACAGCTCAACTACTGTAGCTAACTAACATGAGAAGGAATGAATGGACTGGCTCCATGACAGGAGCAGCAGTAGAGTGACTTGACAGAAGTCTGGGCTGGAGTCCACTTCCTGTCATTGTTTTTATTGACAAATTAAATGGATGTTGTTCATGTGATAATTTACATCACTGTATGTTTATATACAGGATGTATTGGCATGTGGTGGCTTAGTGGTTAAGGAAGTGGACCTAGGTGCGAGTCCACCAAGTTACCACTGAGGTGCTCTGATCATGGCACCGTCCCCACACACTGCTCCCCCTAAAGCTGCCCACTGTTCACTTTGGTGATGGGTTAAAAGCAGAGGTCACATTTGGTTGTGTGCAGTGGTGTGCTGTGTCACAATGACAAGGAGTTCACTTTCACTATGTTCACTTTATGTGCATATATGTATGTTCAGCTGCATGGGGGTGTTAATTAATGACTGTATAGGTGATTAAAAAGAAGGGTAAGATCAGGGTAAGAAGGTGAGGAACACATACTACCTGCATGTCCTCCCTCACTGCATCCATATATCTCCTCTTTGGCCTTCCTCTCTTTCTCCTACCTGGTAGCTCCATCTCTAACATTCTTCTACCAATGTATCCACTGTCCCTCCTCTGCACATGTCCAAACCATCTCAATCTGGCTTCTCTAGCTTTTTCTCCAAACCTTCCTGTCTGTGTTGTCCCTCTAATGACCTCATTCCTGACCCTGTCCATTCTTGTCACTCCTAAAGAGAATCTTAGCATCTTTAACTCTGCCACCTCCAGCTCCTCCTCCTGTCTTCTGCCTATTGCTACTGTCTCTAAACCATACATCATGGCTGGTCTCACCACTGTCCTGTAAACCTTTCCCTTCACCTTAGCTGACACTCTTCTGCCACCGATCACTCCTGACACTTTTCTCCAGCTGTTCCATCCTGCCTGTACTCTATTCTTCACCTCTCTTCCACAGTCTCCGCTGCTCTGAACAGTTGATCCTAAGTACCTAAACTCCTGCACCTTCACCACCTCTGCTCCTTGTAGCCTCACTATTTCACTGTTCTGCCTTTCGTTTACACACATGTACTCTGTCTTGCTGCGACTGACCTTCATTCCTCTTCTTTCTAGTGCAAACCTCCACCTCTCTAGGTTCTCTTCTAGCTGCTGCCTACTCTCACTACAGATCACAATGTCATCTGCAAACATCATAGTCCATGGGGACTCCTGTCTGACCTCATCTGTCAATCTGTCCATCACCACAGCAAACAAGAAGGGGCTCAGGGCCGATCCTTGATGTAGTCCCACCTCCACTTTGAAGTCTTCTGTCCTCCCAACAGCGCACCTCACTACTGTTGTACTATTCTCATACATGTCCTGCACCAAACTAACATACTTCTCTGCCACTCCTGACTTCCTCATACAAAACCACAATTCCTCCCTTGGCACTTTGTCATATGCCTTTTCTAGATCTACAAATACACAATGCAGCTCCTTCTGACCTTCCCTGTACTTCTCCATCAACATCCTCAAGGCAAATATTGCATCTGTGGTACTCTTCCTAGGCATGAAACCATACTGTTGTTCACAAATCTCCACTTCCTGCCTCAACCTAGCTTCAACTACTCGTTCCCAAATCTTCATTGTATGGCTCATCAACTTTATCCCTCTGTAGTTGTTACAACTCTGTGCATCACCCTTCTTATGAATTGGCACCAGAACACTTTTTCTCCACTCATCAGGCATCTTGCCAGTCTCTAAAATTCTGTTAAACAAACCAGTCAGGAAATTTACTGCCACTTCTCCTAAACACTTCCATACTTCCACTGGTATGTCATCAGGACCAACTGACTTTCCACTCTTCATCCTCTTCAGGGCTTTTCTAACTTCATCCTTTCTAACCTGATCTACCTTCTTCCTACTAGTCTCTGGCTCCTCGTTTCTACTTTCCCTTTCATTTTCCTCATTTAACAACTCCTCAAAGTATTCCTTCCATCTTCTCAGCACACTTTCCTCACTTGTGATCACATTCCCCTCTCTGTCCTTAATCAACCTCACCTGCTGCACATCCTTCCCAGCTTGATTTCTCTGTCTCGCCAATCTATACAACTCCTTTTCTCCTTCCTTTGTTTCCAAACTCTCATACAACTCCTCATATGCCTTTTGTTTGGCCTTGGCCACTTCCCTCTTCACCTCCCTTGTCCTCTCTTTGTACTCCAGTCTGTTCTCTTCTGTTCTGTCACTGTCCCATCTCTTCTTCGCTAATCTCTTTCTCTGCACACTCTCCTGGATCTCCTCATTCCACCACCAGGTCTCTTTGTCCTCCTTTCTCTGCCCAGAGGACATACCTAGCACCTTCCTACCTGTCTCCCTCATCACTGCAGCTGTAGTCTCCCAATCATCTGGGAATTTCTCAACACGCCCCAGAACTGCCCCTGGATCTCCTCATTCCACCACCAGGTCTCTTTGTCCTCCTTTCTCTGCCCAGAGGACATACCTAGCACCTTCCTACCTGTCTCCCTCATCACTGCAGCTGTAGTCTCCCAATCATCTGGGAATATCTCAACACTACCCAGAACTGCCCTTACTTCCTTCCTGAAGTCTTCACAACATGTCTCTTTCCTTAGTTTCCACCACTTGATCTTCTGCTCTGTCTTCACTCTCTTCCTTTTTGTCACCTCCATCGTCATTTTACACACTACCATCCGATGTTGTTTGGCTACACTCTCACCTGCCACCACCTTACAGTCTCTAATCTCCCTCAGATTACATCTTCTACATAGAATATAATCTATCTGTGTGGACCTGCCTCCACTCTTGTAAGTCACCCTATGTTCCTCTTTCTTTTGGAAATATGTGTTTACCACAGCCATTTCCATTCTCTTTGCAAAATCTACCACTGCCTGTCCTTCTACGTTTCTCTCCCTAACACCAAACCTGCCTATCACTTCCTCATCTCCTCTGTTCCCTTCCCCTACATGACCATTTAGGTCTGCTCCAATCACCACTCTCTCTCTCCTGGGGATACTCTCTACCATCCAATCTAGCTCCTTCCAGAACTTCTCCTTTTCTTCCAACTCACAGCCCACCTGTGGGGCATAACCACTAACAACATTAATCATCTCTCCTTCTACTTCTACCTTCACACACATCAACCTGTCTGACTCTCTTTTCACCTCTACCACATTTCTTACATATTCTTCCTTTAGGATCACCCCTACTCCATTTCTCTTCCCATCTGAACCATGATAAAACAGTTTGTAGCCTCCTCCAATGTTTCTAGCCTTACTGCCCTTCCACCTGGTCTCCTGCACACACAAAATATCTACTCTTCTTCTCTCCATCACATCAGCTATTTCTCTACTTTTCCCTGTCATTGTACCTACATTCAAAGTTCCAAACTTCAGACTAACACTTCTATTCTTCATCTTTTCTCTTTTTCTCCTAACCAAACGCCCTCCTCTTCTTCTCTGTCTCTGACTCTGTCTCTGACCAACAGTAGTCCAATTTCCATCAGTGCCCTGTTGGTCAACGGCACTGTTGGTGGTCGTTGTTAACCCGGGCCTCGACCGATCCGGTATGGAAATCGTTTTATTGATCTGCATATTTGATTTAGCTAAATGTTTTACGCCGGATGCCCTTCCTGACGCAACCCTCACCATTTATCCGGGCTTGGGACCGGCACTATAAACACGGCTTCGTGTACCCTAGTGGCTGGCTTCACATTGGAACACATTGTTTTTACAGGGATGTCATCAGTAAAGTAGGAGGGAGGGATTAGGGTTAGTGATACAGTAGGTAGAGTCAGAAATAGGGTAGGTAAACACGTGTAGGAACACCTGCCGGTAGACTAGGTCACTACATCTGGGTAGGCTGGTTGGTTTATTGTAGGTAGTAAAATAGTTCGGTTAATGAGTTCATAGATGGATTGATAGACAGATGGATAATTTAATTGAGAAATATTTAAATTGATTATTCTAGATTAATCTAGAAGAACGTTTGATGTTATATTATTAAACAGCAACAACCCCTCTCTCTCTCCATCTCTCTCGTTGTCCTCTCTCACCTTCCCTCGCTCTCTCCCCCTCTCCCTCCCTCCATCCCTGTCTCCCTCCTCTCGCTGTGATTCCTCTGGAATCAAAAGCGATTCGGTTTCGAGCGGTGGCGGACGTCGCTCTTCAAATATCAGCATTTTGTTTTTTACTGAGATAACAAAACTAAACCTTGACGTTGTTTTGCCCGCGGGCAGAATAATCAGCAGACGCACTTTATCCCCTCTATCCGCAGACGCTGGACGCAATGCGAGAAGCGCAGAGGAGAGCCCGTGAAACGCAAACAGAGAGGAGGGAAGCGAACTGAAACCTCCTGGATCTGGACCTCTGCTTTCTTCGAACCGGTTCTTCTGACGGAGATGAGGAGAGTTTCCACCTACCATCCTACCTCCTCCTGCAACACATGCACAGCGCCGCAGATTCTCCTGCCGATGGTGTTCTTGTAGGAGGGTTTTTTTTTTTCGTATTTTTGGTAAATTAGTCTCTTCTGTTCACACCAAACTCAAGACGAGAGCTGGATGGAACTGCATGTGTCACTTACTGCCAGCATCAACCCCACTGTTGTTGTTGTTATTCTTGGAGGAGCTCACATCATGTGGAGGGAGTGATTGTTCCAGAGTTCTTATCTGCTGAATGTGGATTTGGACATAAAATATTTGGA